AATGTGTGTGAATACTGTGAATGCAAATTCCTTGTTATCGATTCCGTGTACTTACTATTCAGATGGCCATACACTTCTTTATACCAAAACGAACAAACCGATGCTAGCAGTGGCTCCCAGACTTTGGCGGGCATCAGAATCACTGGAAAGCTTGTTAAAAAAATTGCTAAGCCCTCCCCTCTCCCGCCAAAGTTTTTGCTTCAGTTTAGGGGACAGGAACTGATAATTTGCATTTCTAGCAATCCCCAGGTGATGCTAATGCTGAGTTATAAAAATAGCAGCGCCCAGATGTATTATTAGCACCTCAGGAAATCTATAGACACTCATGAGTGGATACTGTGCTCTGATGATATGGAATATAGGGCCAAATATCACCAATCCATGGTCAGGGAAGACAGAGTACCCCGGGGGCAACGTAAATACAGAATAATCTGATTGCTTTCAAACTTCTACTTCCCAAACCTTCATCTGAGTTGCTAACAAGCAATTTCATTTGCTTCATTTTCCTTTCTTTTAGTTTCCACCCACCTCTGACGGCAGACAGATAGTTCTGGTTGACTGCAGGATGTTTGATATTGAAATCACAAGTGCCTACTCACTGGCAAGTGGCAAGACTGGCCAGTGTCACCGAGACATTCTGAGCACGGGGGTGGGGGCGGGGCTCTGAGTTGTGCGATGACCTCCCAGGTCACTGTGGTCCCCTGTGTAGTCCTGGGCCCTACCCCGTACTTGTGCCGTCCTCACCGACAGGCTCACACCCATGATTTCAGTAGAACGAAGGAGCAGTTCTATTGTTGGAGGACCCCGGAATCCCCTCAGTCGGCAGGGAGCTGGTAAATGTTTGGCACAGCACGGGACCCAAGCATCTCCCGTCGGGGTTCCTTCCGGCAGATTTCTCCACCTGTGGCAGATGCTCAGATCTGAACGGTTTGCGCTGACCTTTCTGGTGCCGCTTGTCCAAAGTGCCTGCAGACTGCTCGGGGACAGAGGCTGCCTGCCAGTGAAAAACCATGACAGTGCTTTACGCTGTAATTGAGTGGAGACAGGATTTAGCTCATTGGCGTACCTTGCCTGCATTGACTCTATTCCATATTATTAAAAACAGAGACTTGGTCCTTTTTTTTTTTTTTTATAAAAAATTTATTGAGATGATGCAATTATAGGCTTTTCTTTAAAAATTATTTGCAACTCACTGGCCCTGAGAAAAGGCATTTGTTTTTTGTTTTTTTTTTTTCTTTTTTTTTGTTACATTCATTTGATTCAGTCCCTTATACACCCCACACCTCATAAACAACAAGAGATTAGAAATTAAACAAAAAAAAAAAAAAAAAAAAAAAAAAGAAAAAGAAATTCTAGATTCATCCTGGTTTGCAGTCACAAAGAGAAATCTTCAAGAATGTTCACTTGGCATGTGTGAAAGATTCAGGGAGTTTGTAGTTGTTTAGTGTTGATGCAGATGGGGCCAAAAGAGGATCAGGTTAGTCTTCCGCGGTTTTTAGACAGGCAGGGATTATTGCCACCCCCACCCCACCTCCCGCCATGGCTTCCTTGTCTCACTGCCTTCCTTCCAGATTTCTGCTCAGAAGGGGAGCAGACCGAGCGGGTGAAAACCGACTAGCACCGAATGCTAGGGGAAAAACACAAAAGCAAAAACAACCTGCCCTTTGTTCTTCGTGTGTTTTCCCAAATCTCTCATCTTCAGGTTCCTGGGTGGGAATGGGTCAAATGGGGGATCTGGCCAGGCGGGATCTCAATCCTCCTTCTGTCCCTGGCATGCTGTCTGCTCCTCGGGCAAGTCATACTAACCTCCTGGATACTCGGGTCTCCCTTCTGCAGAAGGGAGTGAATGTTTCAAAAAGGTATTCCGAGTTGGAGCCTAGGCAGTGAAAGGGGGAGACGGTGGGTACTTAGTCATTTAGGCGAATCCTGTCAGAGCCATCGAAATTTCAGCTAAAGCTACGTTCCCATTTGGACAAGGTATCAGGGTAAAAAGACCCTGGGTCGGAGGGGGCCAAATACACCATCGAAAGGAGAAAATTCATCAGTGTGTTATTCCTCTTATTCTGTGGGCAGCTCCCTGCCCCCCAAAAAAAAGGATTCAGGACACTGGTGATGCTGTCTTAGGCAAGACTAAGTTGCCTTGGGACAAAAAGAGATCATGTTAAGAGCCACATAGCTAGTCCCGCTAATTGCCACTGCTTTCTTCTGATCAAGAGGAGGCAACCTCGCTAACCCAGGGTGCAGGGAAGAGAAAATGCTAGAGAATTTCTAGCTAGAGATACAAGCGAGAGCGACCGTCTCAGACACCGCTGAAGGGAGCTCTCCCCGCTCTGCAGTGCTCGTCCACATTCTCCTTTCCCAATTTCTGATCTTGCAAGCCCAGGACTCACATGGCAGTGGTAGGGAAAGGCCAGCTATTCAGATCACGGACGTGCTTTTAATTTGGTCCCAGGTGACATGTTCATCGCCCCTCGTACTTAGTGTTGAAGTAAGGAATTTCATACTGGTAGACCCTACAGGTAGAGCCTAAGCTCTTGGAGGGCAGGGGTTGCGCCTGATTTCCTCTTTGAATCCCTCCCAGTGTCTAGAAGGTGCTTCATCCAAGTTTGCTGAATGGAACCGGAGATCTTTGGGGTCTGCGGCGTGTAAACACCGCCTCCCTGGTGTCGGCACTGCCCGGGTGTTAGCTCAGAAAATAAATGAGGACGACTTTTGCCAGTAAGGGAATCAACAGAAAGTTCTTACTGGTAATACCGGGGTAGGAAATAAGGAGCACGTTGGAATTAGTGCTTTCTATTCTTCAAGCAGGTGAAGGTGTCACCATCCTAAGTCTTACCTATTCTTACAGGGTATTGCTTTAAATACAGAGATCCTTGGGGCAAAAGGGAATTTCCCTCCATAATTCAGCTGTAATATTCTTTGAACAGAAAGAGCTGGAGTCCTTACGTGTGGGTAAAGTGAACAGAATGAGATGTTCTCATCTTAGGAAAGAGCAACATCATGCCCTGGTCTCTGCTTTCATAGCCACACAAAGGGCCTCAGTAAAAATCCACCTTTTCTCTCCAGCCCTTCGACTCAATGGTCTTCCCAATACACCAGGTTTTTGGCTTAATCTCTCAAGTTGCAATCCAACATCAGTCATCTTAGAGGCTGGACAACGAATCAGTGCATGCTGCTGAATGCTCTTGAAAGACATCTGGAGCGTGCTGGGGTCCAGCTGACTTTCACCACCATTCAAGTGGCCTGAGACCAAACCCTTCCTTCATCAGCAGGTCCCTGACCTCACTGCAAGCCCGGCCTTCTGGAAGGTAGAGTTGGTGGATCATGTGACAGTGGAGGAGGCTGGCCACCTCTATGTCTCTATCTGCGGTCTGATAAGGGGCAGGAACAGAGCACAACTGAAGGACCTCGAAGGGCTCCTTGATTCCAGTGTCCTTGACCCGCAGTCAATGTGTCCTTTCCCTCTCCCCAGGCTGGTGTCCTTGTCAATAAGGCTGGGGGAGAACTCTTCCTGCCTGCGTTCCTCCAACCCCCACCTCCCTGATTTGCTCAGAAGTGGCTTGAGAAGACAGGGATCTGGCAGCAGCATCTAGAAGTGCCGCTGACGACGTGCACATGTACCCTGGGGAGCTGCGAGATGCTCACCCAACCAAGGAGAGAAAACTAGAGAAACGAGGAGGGGGTGCTGTGTAAGGCGGGTCTAATCTTTTGGATTAAAAAACGGCCGTCCTTCTAAGATTGGATTCTGAACCTGTATTAAAAGAGTTCAGATGGCTAGAAAAGGAAAAAAAAAATCTTACAGAGCTTTCTAAAAATATGTGTTATCATCAAAAGTACTAAGGGGTGGCACGTCCCTCATTTTACAAGACACTGTGGACCTTATTTCGAGGCGAGAAAGAGCCACGAATGGGTGACGCACAGCGATGAAAGGAGAAGAGAAAAAGGTCATAGATCTGACGAGTTTCCTGTCTGCCCAGGCTGGGCAAACATCAGTAGCAAGCGAGACTGTGTACTCCAGGGTCCTCCCCTCTCCAATGCCCTGTGTCCCGTGGGGGCCAGGAAACTTTTAAAAAGCCCAGGAATTTTTAAAAAGTTAGGTGAGGGCATGAAACTGACCACAAGGTGGCCTTTGGGAACCTTGCAGGACCTGCAAGTTAATCCCAAGAGGCTGGGGCCTTCCGAATAATACACACGGCCTTCCATCCTGATCTTCTGTCCTGCGGCACCACCAAGCCCTGGGGTGCTCACAGCCACGGCCGGGGGCAGCCAGCTGGACTGACGCTTATCTCTCTGGAGGACCACAGCACCTGTGACGTTTGGGGCCTCCCTCTGATAGGCAGCCAGATGTCCGGATGTGGGTTGGATTATTATTATTATTATTTATTTTATTTTTTGCGCAGTGCCGCTGTAAAGCACCCAGACCGCTGATTCCGTTGGAGCGTCACCAACTCCCAAGACTGTCCTGGAGGCTGGACTCTGCTAAAAGGTATCTGAAACTCAACAGCAGGCAGGGAGGGAGAGGCAGGGGAGGAAAGAGCGAGAGGGAGAAAAAGAGCGCTCTCCTTTTCACTTTATCCTTTTTAAAAGCATCTTTTTTTTTTTTTTTTTTTTTTTTTTTTTTTTTTCCCCCAGCCAAGACCCAAGAGCAACAGGAACAAACCTGATCCACGTGGCAGGATAAAGAGGAACCTGAAACCCTTTGCGTGTGTTTTCTCTTTCCTGACCAGCTGGGTTTGCCGCACTTTGTGAGATTTGCAAAAAAATAGGTATATATAATAGATATATATTTCCATAGGAAAACAACCTCGGATGTCTTCCCCTATATGAATGATGAAAAGTCAAACTGCGTGGTCTTAAACAAAAAAAACCAAAAAACGAAAACACCATGAAACTAACAACGGGTGGACGGGTGAGGGTGAGGAATTACAGATGGAGAGGTTCCAAATGAGGAAAACGGGAACCGCGAGTCCCAGGCTCGTGCCCTTGGCCAGAATTCCAGCCCCGCCTTTGCTGGGTGGTTTGTCTAAGGTGCTCTGGGGGCCCTCCCGCTACGCGAGACAGGTGTCACTCCCACTCCTGGGTCTCTTCCTGTTCTAGTCTCAGCCCGCCTGCTCGGCTCGCCTCCAGGCCCCTCGCGGGCAGGGGGCCCCCCCGGCTGCTGGCCCGCTGAGGTGGTGGGTTGGTTCCCTCAGCATTCATCTTCTTGGTATATTTGTTCATCCAGCTCCTGGGACTCCAGGTGCTCCAGACGGTCCGTTCGGCCACTCATGATTTCATCCGGGGTTTTCATAAACCTTTGGTGAGAGGAAATGGACGAGCACAGAAGATTACATTTTCCTCCAGTTGCCTTCACCTTGAACTCTTAAACTAAAAGCAAAGGCCCCATCATCTCAAATAGCTGGACAGCTATTTGAACTCAGCCAGTAATGCTGACTTAGCACAAACTGGAAGGAGGTGCCCCTTCCTCTGAGTGCTGGAAAAAATGGCAAAATAACTATAAAAACGTCTAGGGTGGCTGTGAGCTGTGTCGTGCATTCCTGTACGACCATACGAGGGAACCCTGGTACAGCTCACTGATCTGCTGTTAGAGAGATTTTCCAATGACCTACGAGAGCTGTATATCCATTTCTATCCCAGACTGTGGGCCCAGGGAATGGTATGCAACACTTGAATTTACCTCAAAAGGATCCAATTAAATGCCAAATGGAAAATTTTCATAAAAGGACAACTTAGTGGTGCTCTTAGCAGTTAGAAAGGCAAAGAGAATCATTTTCAACGTTATCACTGATCCAGCCAAAATGCTAGCAATGAATCCCCCTTAGCCTGTCTTCCTCTGCAGCTGGGTGCAGACAGCAAGGCTTATCTTCTTATTGGAAATCCTATCAGTGACCTGTCAGGGCCACGATTTCCACAGTGCAGGAAGGTGGCCTGGTTGCAAAGGTTCTGCCCTCCCCGGAGTGCCGCTTCCACAGCCCCCTCGGCGCCTGCACACCCTTCTCTTCCCACTCTGCCCTGCACCAGATGAACGGTCCTAACACATGTCACTCCACATTCGAGAGCCTGTGATGACCACTTAACAGGTAAAGCCAAGGACACACTCTTCGGCTTGCCCACCTGGGTTCTCTGTCATCTCTACCCAGGAAACTCTTGTCACCCACCGTTGACGAGCATGAAGCCTTTATTCCAGTCTGGCCAGTCTTTTTTCTTATACACATCATGGCCTTCCCTCCAAACCTCATCTGGCACTCTCTGAGCCCTGCTTATTCTTTGCGCCCTGCCCCTGCATCAAAGAGCCATGCAACAGCACCAGTCCACGCTGCAATCCTCCTTCCCTCAGTGCCTATAACCCTTGTAAAGACTACCCACAATTTAACACTTCACTTGATTACACACAGGGTTTTACACACCAAGAAGCCTTCATTTTGTGGCAAGTCTGGCTTCCATCCCTCATTTCCTCAAAAGTGACCAACTCTTCTCACTAATAGCACGATCCTGTCCTTTCATGTTGTCAAAAATCACTATTGGAAGCCTATGAACCTTCCAACTACTTCTGCTTCTCTTTTCTGCCCTTTATTGCTCAACTCCCCAAGTAGTACGATTTGTTGAGTCTGCACTCTGTCTTCTCCTTTCATCCCCTAACACTTCTCCCCAAAATCTGAAGTCACTGACAATCTCCCGAGGCCAAATCCACAGATACGCTATATTCGGCCCCCTACCCTACCTCTTTCTTCTCTTGACTAGTCTTCTGTAATAAGCTTCTGATATTCCAAATCAGGCTTGTCAAGAAACATTTACTGAAAGCCTCCGTAAGGTATAAAATAGAATTATATAAAATATAATCCTCTCCCTTCTAGGATCTTATGACCTAGTTGTGGGGAGAAGGACTTCATATGTATAGCTATTGAAAATGCAAATCGTGATGTGGTTTAGGGCCAAGGGATCCAAGAGATGATGGAAGAAGACATCTGTGTGTGTTTGAGCATCATGATGGGTGGGACACTTGAGCTAGACCTAGAGGGCATATATATTAAAAAAGCAAAAGTTAGAGAGATATATATTTCTGGCACAGGGGATCATATTAGTGTCATAGGGTAGGTAGCTGGCAGTGTGTGTGATGAATTTGGAAGGCAGGGGAGTGGACCAGAGGTAGAAAGGATTATTGAATTAATCTAGGTGTGAATCATAAAGTCTAGACAAGGAAGCAACAAGAATGCTTTTGCCTTTCTTATGTCTTCTAAATTCTCATGAAAGTGCTTGTCATTGGTAGACTCCAACCTGGAATTTGCTGGTAAGAAATCTTGGGAAATGTGGTTTCCAGGCTTCTAGCCCTAGCAACATAGAATGGAGTAGAAACAGTGTGCAATGGAAGAGCCAGGGACAATCCTGCATAATGACTGACCTGGATATAGGAGGAGTCAACAGTAACTCCAGCATCAAAGTTGGTTGCTTAAAACGATGTTGACACCACTGATGAGTAACAGGAATCCTGGATGGGGGGCAGGGGATATTTCTAGTATGTGGAGAAGGTATTTAAGTGGCCATGTACTATAAGAAGCTCTTGGAAATTCAGATTTCAGGGGGACTTCAGGGGGATCCTAGAGCTGGATACAGAACAAAGGCTGGTGAGTCTAACCACGCAGTCTAACTGAAGCTGTGTAATGGAATCATTTCATCCAGAAAGAACAGGAGCCGAGGACTATGTTTAGGGTCAAGGATGATGAGAAGCCATCAGCAGAGCCAGGGAAGCGAGGGTTCTTTTTTTTAACTCCTTCCCATTCTGTTCCCATCTCTTGACTAAGCTTTTCTGTTGTTTTTGAAGACGTCAATTGTTTCTACCCTTCCCAAGTTACCATTACTCCTAATGCTAAATAAAGCTTGAGTTCTCTGCTCTCTCTAATCTATCCCAGCGAATGGATCTACTCATGCAGAGTGTCACTTGCTACCTGTGTACAGACAATTCCAAATCCATCTCTCTAGCCCCATCGAAACTCTTTTCTGTCCCATCTGCCAAACCCATAACCTGACGTCATGTCCGTCGATCCCACCTTCTCCCAGCCTTCCCTTGGTCGCCCCACGTCCATTACCATCAGTGTCAGTGACCATCCCTTCTACCTCTCCTGACTGGTCCTTGACATTCCTTTCTTCCTCTTCTCCTAATTCTTTCTCTTCTCTGGCAGAGTGCTTGGAATCACAATCTATGTGGTAGGTTAAATGGTTGGAACTCATGAGCTGTGAGGAAGTCTGGAAAGAGGAGTGTCTACTGCAGCAGCTTCCGGACTTTTCGGATTATCATGCACCATAAAAAAATATATTTTGGGGCGCCTGGTTGGCTCAGTCGGTTAAGCATCCAACTTCAGCTCAGGTCATGATCTCACGGTCTGTGAGTTTGAGCCCCGCGTCGGGCTCTGTGCTGACAGCTCAGAGCCTGGAGCCTGCTTCGGATTCTGTCTCCCTCTACCTCTCTGCCCCTCCCCTACTCACGCTCTGTCTCTCAAAATACGAATAAACGTTAAAAAAATTAAAAAAATATATATATATTTTGACATCATGACTCAGCACGTACACACGCACACATGAAACAAAGCTTTCCTGAATCATTAGCCACTCTTACTTCATGTGACACAGTCTGATATTTTCGACTCTATCCCACCCTGTTCAGTTTTGTTCTATTCCATTAAAAAAAGAAAAGTTTAGACTGACTCATTAAATCTATTTCATGATTCGCTAACGGGTCATGACCTGAAGTTTGACAAACGCTGGTTCAGAAACCTGCTCACAAGCGTCGGGAACCTGGAAGTCTAGACCTAATACCTCGCTTTGCCATTGACGGTGTTACTTTGGCCGGTCCTCTTAACTACCCTGGATGTTAAATCCAGATAATACGATTTGATCACTGCATTATTTTCAAGTTGAGTCGCACTGTGCTTACTTAGTTTGGGCTTTGTGACAGGACAGACATAAGTTAAAAACAAAAAACAAAAAACAAAAAACCGACTTCTTTTCCTGAAATTCGAACAACCCAGCATCTGGTATGCAATTTGTAGCAGCGATGGCTTTCTGTGTCAGACAGGCAGGTAGAGATCTTAACAGCCTCCCTCCTCCCTCTTATTTAAGGAAAACAATATCCTCCCAAAAGAAGGAAAGGAGAAAAAGGAAGCGCTACCTGAACAAAAGCCTTTGTCCTGGCTCCTTCCTGATAATGTTTAGTTTGTAGTAGTGGCGCAGGGCTCTGGACATTTTCTCATAGGTCATGTTTGTTCTGTTCTGTTTGTTCAAAGGAGGAAGAGAGAAAAAAGCACAAAGACACAGTGACATAAACCTCCGAAAAGGCGCTGGGGAGCTATTAAAATAAAAGCTCTTTGGCTGCTCGCGTGGCCCTACCAGCTCTGGGGAGCTACCTGCCCCCCAGCTGCCCCCCAGGCCCACCAATTCCCACCCCCTTGGCCTTTAGACACGGGCGCCAAAATTTCTCCGAAGGTGAATCCCCTTTCGTCAGAAGTCTTGGTGCTGTGGCTAATAAAGTATATCCCACAGCAACCTCCCTCACTACCTTCCAAGACTATGCTCTGCTGTGCTCCATGAATTTCCTGCAGGTTCCCCTATCTGTGGGTCATCCTTCACCTTCCGACCCACAGAGAATTTTTCTCTTTCTTTCTTTTTCTTTCTTTCTTTCTTTCTTTCTTTCTTTCTTTCTTTCTCTTCCTTCCTTTTCTTCCTTCCTTCCTTCCTTTTCTTTCTTCCTTCTTTCCTTTTTTCCTTCTTTCCTTTACTTTTTTCTTTTTCTTCTCTCCCTCCCTTTTTCTCTTTCTTTCTTTCCTCTTTCTTTCTTTCTTTCTTCTCTCCCTCCCTCCTTTCTCTTTCTTTCTTTCTTTCTTTCCTTTCTTCCTTCCTTCCTTTTCTTTCTTCCTTCTTTCCTTTTTTTTCTTTCTCTTTTTTTCTTTCTTTCTCTTCCTTTCCTTTTCTTTCTTCCTTTCTTCCTTCTTTCCTTTTCTTTCTTTCTTCTCTCCCTCCCTCCCTTCCTTCTTCTTCTTTCTTTCTTTCTTTCTTTCTTCTTCCTTCCTTTTCTTTCTTTCTTTCTTTCTTTCTTTCTTTCTTTCTTTCTTTCTCTTTCTTTCTCCCTCCCTCCCTCCCTCCCTTCTTTCTTTCATTGCAGCAACCTTTCTCCAACTTGTGTTTCTGGTTTGTCGTTTTAAGGAAGAGATTTTTTTGTTTGTTTGTTGGAATTCCTGTTGTGGAAGGAAGAATACAGTGGTTCCGAGCCCTGGGGCTCCGGGCACCATCGGGAGCTTGCAGAGGGATTTTTCTCTGTGACTCACGCACTGAAGAGTCTGTCAGTGGGGCCTTGCCGTATTTGGTCATGGCCTGCAATTAGGTCTTCCTCACTGGAACCAGAGCGCAGGCTTCCAACCTCTAAGGCTGCAGCCCCCCACCTCCCCTGCCCCCCAGCCCCCCGAGCTCGGCTGGGCCCCACTCTGTCCCTGCTCACTCAGCTCATCTGGGGCTGTGCCATCAAGGTGCTTTGCCTGCTTTGCCCACATCTACCTGGCTGTGGTCAGGCCTGGATCTTGGTTACTTGTTTTTATTTTTTTAGTAGGAATACAGATTTACTTATTTAAATATTTTTTGAGGGGAGAGACTCTTTGCTCTATTCTTTTCTTATTTTATTTTATTTTATGCCCATTGATCAGTACTTTCTCCTGCCCCTCTCTCCCCAACCCCGGGCCACACCACTCCACTCTTTGGTTCAGCAAATTTGCCTGTTGTAGATACTTCGTGTGAGTGGCAACAGGCAGGATTTGTCTTTCTGGGACTGGCTTAGTTCACTTAGCAGAATGTCGTCAAGATTCCTCCAATGCCGTAGCCTGTGACAGGATTTCTAACCTCCCTTAAGGCTGAGTAATCTTCCTCTGTATGTATACGGCAGTGTTTCTTTATCCAGGCATCCATCATGCATGTTTAGGGTGGTGTTTCACCCACTTTTTGCCTCTATGCACTTCAATAGTTTTCCTAACTTTAAAAGATTGGATCTTTTAAATTCTACTCCCTTTTCCCAGGGTGGAAAATTGTGGGGCGGACAGTTCTTGCCTGTTTGCTTTTCAAGGGGATGTCACAGTCAGAATGTGAGCATTTCCATGTCGAAGGGGGCCTTTGTGGACGTGGGTGTTTCTCACTGAGCGGAACAGAAGCGATACCTCCCCAGCTCCCTTGTGAGTCACAGAGCCCCTGTTCCTCAGCTCCTAGCGACACACGGGTGGCAGCACCAGGTGGAGGGGATGGGATGGAGGGCCACTTCCAACGCAGCCCTACCAGACCGGGGGGTGTGAAGTTAACTGACACCCGGCATAAGTAACACATGGAAAGTGGCATCTTTACTTATGTCCTTCCCTTTGCAACTAATTGCGCAGTGAGGAATAAACTAATGATGGGCACACTCGGGGGGCAGAAGACAGACAATTATCCTCCAACCTGGAAATGAAGGCTTTATTTTGGCATTACTTCGCACAGCAAATATCTGGTGCCCTTTTACCTTATGGTTTCCCCACAGTCGAGCCAGTCCATTGGGATCCACTATCCGGAATATTTTGGATTCTTTGTCTTCCCATCGGATGAAGTTTTCGTACCGGCTGTCGGAAAGCAACTGATAGACGTAATCCCAAAGCAGTCTACAGTCTACAGAGGAAAAGGGCAAGAAAACATTGATTATGTTTCTTGTTGAGGCCCTAAGAATAACAACCAGAAAATAATCCAGTAGCCGCTCCTGCCTAGTGTGGATTGATGGTCTAACTTTCTTATTTCACAGTGAGGAGACCAGGGCCCAGAGAGATCTGGCAGATGGTGCTGGAGAAAGGCAACCTTTGACCCGTGGAGGCCTCAGAGACCATCCCGGCCAACGGCCTCCCCTCCACAGATGGGGATGCAGTGGCCTGGAAGAGGAAGCAGCCTGTTCAAGGTCATGACCGATGACTTGAACTTGAGCAGAGCTCACACGAAAGACACAGAGCAAGCCAAAAGAGGGGTAAAAACAGGCTGGTGGGGACTAAGGGCGGAAAGAGAGCCCCAGTGTTTAAGCAAGCAGTATGGTGTTCCTGGTGATGCTGCAGGATTGTTCTGGTGTTGGAGGCTGAATGGATACAGATGAGAAGATTGGGGTAGGCTAAAAAATGGCAGAAAAACAAGTGTGATGCATGAAACGCTGCAGAAAAAGAAACTGTGAGCTCGCGTGGTTTTCAAAAAGAAGAGAGATATTCTTACTACAGCATCCCCCGGAGTTCTCGAAAACCAGTTTATTGTCACAAAATCAGCGTAGAAAGGAACCCAGGGCAAAAAAGTCACTTTTCCCATCTGTAGGACCGACGTTCTATCACTTGGCCAGGCTACAAATATTTACTAAGTGAGTTCATACAGGCCAGGTATTGTGCTAGGCTTTGGCTCCTGGCTGAGGGCTGGCATATTAAAACGAGAGACACATACCCATAATTTCCCTTGTTCTAGTGCTTTCTGGATTTGGGCCGTCATGGTCTGTGGTTTGCCCTCTAGGCCCCCTTGTTGGGTGGATGGAGACACGTCCTATCTATGTGTACTTTTGGAATGGTCTCCAGATGAGAGTAAGAGACTCCAGTTTTCAGGGGTTTCACTGTTGACTCTGGGGAGCTTTGGTAGGCTGGAGCCAGAATGGCTGGTCGTGAATGATCGATTACCGAACGCTGTGTATGTGCTCAGCACGTGTCGTGCGTCTTTCCCAACCCTCTGAGGCCTGAGGGGGCCAGGATATGAATTCCTGGGCTCCTGCACTACAGTGTGCTGACTTCCTTATGTTGGGTGAGGCCCAGCACACCTGGGCAGGGAGTGTCTAATTGGGACGTGGAGTATTTTAGAGCCAACACATGCACCTCCCAGAGAATGAAACACACCCTTCTCAGGAGTATATTCACAAGGGGAATTGAGTCAGGTCACCCTGGGCAGGTTTCCTAAATCTCCCCGAGATTCTGCTTCCTCATATATGAAATGGGAATCATACATACTTTACAGGATCACTGCATTAGTGATATTGCAAGTGAAGGGAAAGTAATGAAAATAGCAACAATGCTACGTATCGGGTAGCCTACTAGCAGGCACTGTGCTGCACTTGACCTTGAGGACACCTTCTGAGGCAGGTGCTGTTGCTATTCCTATTTTATGGACAAGGAAGCTGGGGCTTAGAGGGTTTGGTAATTTACTCCAAGGGCACAGCTCATGAGTGATGCACACACACACAGGATTCCAGGCTCTGCACCACTCTGAAGCCCGTGCCCCACCATTCTTCCTGATGGGTTTTCTATTCTCAGAGAAGCCAGTTAACAGGTAGATATCTGTAAAATTTTAGGCCTTTCCAGAACAAGGTTTAGCTCTGTTTAGTGTAAGCTTTATGAAATCCAGCCTTTTCTCTGAACAGCCCAAGCAAGGAACTGGCATAAAATGTGGCATTTTCTAAGAAGCTTAATCTTGCAGGAAACTGACATTAAACTTGAAATGACCATAAATCTCTTTACTGTAGCCTCCCCCCCCTCCATTATCTGTGTCTAAACATTAATGGAATGTGCAAGTTACTGGGTTTTAGAAAAGGACAAACGGTGCTCTTCGTTGAAGACACCAGGTGCTCTGCGAGTTTGAACCCCATTCTGGGGACAGAAACGGCCAGCCACTTCTATTACCCGCCTGCCAGCCAGAGGGAGAGAGTGCGGGACCCAATCCAAGCACCATAAAGTACCTGGAGAAGTCAGGGTCACACTGAGAAGACTGAGAAGACTCTAGCTCATTTTTTAAAAAAGTTTTTATTTATTTATTTTGAGAGAGACAGCGTGAGCAGAGAAGGGGCACAGAGAGAGGGAGAGAGAGAATCCTAAGCAGACTACGCACTGTCAGCACAGCGTCCGATGCGGGACTAGAACTAATCATGACCTGAGCAGAAACCAAGAGCCGGACTCTTAACTGACTGAGCCACCCAGGCACCCCCCTAGCTCATTTTTAAGGCTCTTGTAACAGGACGACTCTATTTCTAGGCAAAGCAGTGGGGAAGGCAATGGGCCCTAACCCTCCTTGCCATCTCCTTGCCCTGGAACACTGTTACTACAAATGGAAAACCAAGGACTGAGCTGTGGATTCAGTGTTTGTCCCATCATACAATGGCAGATGCATTTACATTTCCCCCCAGCCTCTCCCAGTTGGAAAACCTCTGACAAAACCAAATATTATCGCATAGAATGCCAGTAAATTAGAAGGAACAACAAAGGGGGTCTGTGTCTAACTCCTATATCGCTCCTCCACATGGGAGAAATCATCTTCACTGCAGGGGCTTGGTGTCACCTGGATCGGGACTCAATTCTCTCAAGTGTCCATTTTACTAACATTGAATAGTAATGAACTATTGGATTGTCTTCAACGGTTTGATATAAAGAAACTGTGCCCATATGAAGGTGAACAATATATTGCTAGTCCTCTCACCTCTCGGCCAACTGGAGCTAAAGTATAAAGTGGATGGTCCTTCCATCCCCTCCGCACAAAGACTTTCACTTTCATTGTGTCTGTGGTTTCTGTTTTACTGTTGGGGTACCTTCTACTTATCACAAAACAGTGCAGTGTGAACCAGACCATTTCTCCAAGCAAGGGCTTAACCAGCACTGAGGTCCATGCAGGGGCTTCAAACTTGGATCTTTATGTGAACCTTTTCCTAAAAAAGATCTTAGAGGGGTGCGCCTGGGTGGCTCATTTGGTTTGAGCCTCTGACTCTTGATTTTGGCTTGGGTCGTGGGATCAAGCCCTGCGTTGGACTCTGTGCTGAGTATGGAGACTACTGGGGTTCTCCTCTCTCTCTCTCTCTCTCTCTCTCTCTCTCTCTCTCTCTCTCTCCCTCTGCCCCCTGAAGATGTGTTCTCTCTCAAAAAAAAAATTTTTTTTAAAAAGATCTGGAATGCTATCTGCTCCTTGGTTGGTAAATGAAGGGCAGGGCTCACTGGAGAACAGACTTCACCTATATGTTTCAAGAACATTGGATTCTTGCAAACTTTTCCCTTTCATAAATGTGAAAATAACCCCAAACAAGCTGCCAGCTGATCACTTTAAATGACATTTAACCCAGCAAAGCCAACATTAGCTGAGTAATAAAAATATGTTGACATTCAAGAAATATTGACTTATTCAGTCACTAACAGAGGTAGCAACAGGAATTTTGTGGCATAAAGCAATTGTTTCAAACTCAGAGTATTAAGTGGCTTTTATAACTCTATTGATTGTTTGGTTTCTTTAGTTAAAAATTATTCCAGATGATAAAAATAAATGCCTGATCATACAAGAGATTTTTTTCCCTTTCTTCTTCTTCTTCTTCTTTTTTTTTTTAACAATTAAAGTTCAGCCATGTGAGTTAGTTTGTTTTTAAGATTTCAATTAAATAAAAGGCAGAACCTTTTTAGTTCCCTAGATCCTCTGGAGGTTATTACCATAGCCTACCTGCAATTTTTCAGTTCTGTCGAAATCCACATCTGCACAGATACAATGTTCTTTGATCATCAATGAAAATGCTTAATAAATTCACCAAACGCTATAATAAAATTCACCAAACTCTATAAATAAAAGATTATCCTATAATATAACCCTCGAACATGCATGTGAAAAAATTTTATATTACAAAGTATTCATTAATTCTAAGTGCATTTCTCTTAAACTAAAGGGCCTTTATATGAAGGCACATGGGTATTTTAAACACATGTCCATTATTTGGATTGTCTCTTCCATGAGAGGAAGTTTATAAAAGGGTTTAGTTCAAGTGACATGCCATTTTTTGGTTGCAGAGAGCATTCTCTCTCCTTCCTGCTCGGTGAGGTGCCCTGGGTACCCACAGCTAAAAGGCATTGTAAAAATTCCCTTCCTGTGGTTAAGGAGAAATATTTCCACTCCCACGTCTGTCTCTTACCAGAGACTCATTGTACACGCTCGCAGAGCAGAGACTGTAAAAAGATGGGCGATTCACACATAACCAACATAGTTTCTAATGAAAAAAATCATGCTAGACAAAGCTGATGTTTCAAAATCTGAGTGGGCAAGTCAAGTTATTGACAAAGGGAATGTTTAATGATGGTGGTTAATTAAAATTTTGGGAAAGCTTCTGAGAAAGTAATTTTATGTTGTTCTAACTGCCCAAATGGAATTTTAAATGAAGGTCTGTAAACTGGAGTTCCGTGGGTATAATCACCAACTCACCAGACGGTGAGTGTCCCTGTTTTACTTAAGTTTATTGCAAAAAATTAATGGATTTATTTCAGGTTCAGCAACAAAACCGCTAAGTAACGTACAAATTAGAAAGTTACTCCTCTGCTTGAGAGCAGTGGTTCTAAACCAGGGGCAATCTTGCCTTGTAGGGAAGGTATTTGGCAATGTTTGGAGATAATTTTGGTTGTCATAACTGGGGTGAAGGACGCTACTGGCCAGGGACTCTGCTAACTATCTTATAATGCACAAGTCAGCTCTCCCCCATTCCCCAACAAAGAATCATTTGACCCAATTACCACGAGTCCCAAGCTTGAGAAACTCTGCTTATAGGAACACGAGCTTTACAACATGCACAGCTCAGGGTTTTTTGTTTGTTTGTTTGTCTGTCTGGGTTTTTTTTGTTTTTGTTTTTGCTTCCCCCCCCCAAT